AAGCAAGTACATATGAGGAGCCAGTGTAAGAAGAATATTACCAACAAGTCAGCTTCAAGAAGACCAGTAGTGGTTGGTGTTGAGGGACACTCACCAACCCCCATCATGATAGTCCCTACAGCTTGGTGTAAAATGCCAAGCACACACAGTGTCTATGTGACAGGAAAGCTGGATGGCCAAAGGTGCAACTTTGTCATAGATTCTGCATCTCAGCAAACTCTTGTGAGCATCAAGGTGTTAGATCACAGAGGAGTACCAGAAGCCATACAGAAGCTTTGTGGTGTGACAGGACATTCTGCAAGGTTGTGGGGACCAGTGTGGATAACTGTTGAGCTCATGGGCATAAAGGACAGACACAAAGTATACTTGGCTGACATTGAAGACGAATGAACTGACGGCAACAATGTGTAATTGACAGATGAGTCGAGCACGTTAGACGTTCGTTGTGAATTATAGCGTTTGTTATAGCGCGACTGTGGAAATTAAGTGTATTGCAAAGCTGTATTCAGAAAGAATAAACCAGTTTTATTTAAGAAAGGACTTGTATCGCTAAAGTTTCTTCGGAAAGATATTTTACGGAAAATTAACTAACGACCAGAGACGTAACATGTAGATATTGCCAATTGATTTCTCATTTGTAAGGTCCTATGCTACAAGCACGACTGCTACATTAATAATATAATAGTTAATTTGTAACAGAAGTGTCTCTAGGACCCATAGACGAAGAAATTTTCGGCGTTTCAGTACGATATTGGTCATGGTTTTCTATTCTGAATTTTGAAGACTAACTGGGGATTCGGGGCAATCTCAAGTAGAATAGGGGCACGGGGCCCGTGTGCCAGTGCCTAGCAATACCTCTAGTTTGTAATAGGCATTTGAATAAAATATTAACCATGAAACAAAAGCGCGAGATAATCATTGTATTGTACACCTGTGCTGCAAAATAATAATGGCTGATATTGTGTTTTCATTTGCACATTTTGTTGTTGTAATTTGGTTTTTCATTGGTTTGGTTGGTTTTCGACTATTTGGTAAAAATATTGGGAAGTCCAGTCCACGTAACAATGACGAATTAATTTATTTCTTCACTTTCACTTGTAGGCCTAATTTCATAAACACACCTTTTAACATGAACTCTACAATTGTATTTGTATGTAGGCCTCATTTCATGTGCAATTTTAATATAAGCTACGAGAGTGCATCTAATTTAATTAACTTTGATTGATAAACAAACATGTAACTCTCCGACTAACAGAGTAGCAGAATAGACGCGATAATTGACATTGAATAACTATTTCCGTCACTCGACTCAAACTCACTGAATACTCAACGAATAATTACTGGTATTTATAAAAAAACGTCCCCTTATCTCTCCGATGTTAGACAAGCATCTTGATTATTACATGAAATATCAAGAACAATATCGAGTGATAATTAGCAATAATTATTTCTAACTATATCCTGTGCAATAACTCGTTTTCAAGATCAAGGAAGGCTTTTTATTTAATAATGAGACTACGAGGTTAAATCTAAAAAAACGACATAATCGTTCACAGCATTAATATCTGCGCTTCACCGCTAGGGGAACTAGTGTCCTTTTCATAGAAGGTGAGTTGGCGCTTTAATATAACTTAAAATACGTAGTTGAATTAAATGATAGAAGGAATAATATATGAATGGTAAACAAAAACATAACAAAACAAAACAAAAAAGAATTCGCTATCTTACATATTGATGGTGGCGAGAAGAAAAAATGTAGTGTTATTTGAGAGAATAGTAAAAATAACGGAAGGTTGACTTTCAATCCCTTTTCCTTCTTTTTTTCAGTATTTCTTTATGAAAAGCGTTTAATATAGTACTTGTAACATGCCTAACTTACTGAACACGACAAAAAAGTGAAGTAAAAAATTTCGTGTGGCAAAATAAAAAAAAAAGATAAAAATGACAAGAAATTTCCAAACACGTTTTAACTTGTATCGTAGCCCTCTATTTGAACAATTTCACAACATATGACCAATGCAGGTACTGACGTTTTGCTAGAATCTAGTCACTGTAGTGACTAAGATAGTACTTTAGTTGTGTTTAGGTGGACGTTTATACGGGTAGGCTGAATAAAGTGCTTACAAGTTTCAGTGAATTACGTAAATTTAAAAGCAGCTATCGGTGGGTGTGTTGACCTCCCATCTATGATCTAGGGTTAGTATTATTCTATGAATAATATTAAAAAACTTTATTAAAAAGTTTAATATTAATAATTAATTCCAGTTTATCGCTAAGTGACTGATGACTTTAATTACGTGAATCTGATGTGATATTTGATTGACACAAGGATAAACTTAAATTTCAAATATATATTTATTGTGAAATGTGTGTCATGTGACTGTTTTTAATTCTGTTATAAATGTATATCATTTATTATGAGACTGTGTCAAGAGCTCAGATTTGAGAAACTCATTTTGTCACATCATATTAGTATTATTTTTAAAAGACTGTAAACTAATGTTTGCTTAAGCTATAATGTTTTGAAATTAATGTATGCTTCACCGAAACGGGGCATAGCTATACTATAGCCATAGTTTCAACATATAATTATATGGGTTTATCAATAACATTACATGTTGTTATATAAAAATATGGATATGGAAGCAAAATGGGGAAATAAACATAAAAAAAAACTTTCGTTTGTAAATGACAATAAAATCGTGGATCTACTGTAAAACGAAAGCAAAGTGCTAACTCCGAGATAGCTTATCCTCAAGAAAGTTTAAAACGGAGATCTAATATGTGCCAGAAAACAGAAATTCTAAAAAAATTGCTTGCACTTAAGTCAAAGAAGCCCCCCTCAAATTCAAACATGTCACGTGCAAACAACAGAGATTTGATACAAGAAAATAAAATTGTATGATCTATAGGTTCATTTACCTTCTAGGAAGAATCATATCTATTAGTATTATATCCAACATATTGTAAAAAAAAGAAAAATCTACAAAATTATGTTCACTTCTTAAGTCATCCACAAATTAGCATATTTCACAGACAAAAATGGGGGTTTCAATGGATGTTTAACCACTAGTGACAGTACCGTATTTTTTGGTGTACAAGAGCACTCTTTTTACCCCAAAATTTGATGTCAAAATCTGCTTGTGTCCTGTACACCGAAGGTAAGAATAATATATATGTATATATACAATATACACAAGCCATGTGTAAATATATTTAAATAGGCATGCATAGTTTAGTTCAATTGAATGTGTTATTTCTAACAATAGTAGTGTTTTTTTTCTTTTAAAACATAACTATTTATAATGCTCCCTAAATAATAAAAAAATAAATTACAATGAAAGCAATGAAGATTTTGTAGGTTTTGAACCAAACTAAATAACAGTAAACCCTTTTTGATTTACAGTATTTTCTTATTTTGATGTTTTGAGCTCTTGTGTTAAGAACAATATATACTAATTTTTAAAGTATCAAATTGAATTTATGTTCAATAAAAATCTTTCAAATGCAACTTTGTCTTCAAAATAAGGGTGCGTCTTATATTCTGAAAAATACGGTAATTGTGTAGAATTTTTGTTCTGCAGCACACAGTGGAGCTTCTAGGTTTTATACCTCCCCTAGTGGGTGAATGAACAGGGTTATACCTTTGTATTTTTCTTATAATAGCTTCATATGTTTTTTTGGGATTTAAAAAATATTAAAATTTTTTTCACATTATGGTTATTTCTTCATCTTGCTTTTTATATCCATGATATTTTTGAATAAGGCAACTGGAAACCATTGAAATTAGTTGGAAAACTTTGCCTCCACCCCTTCTCCTGTCAGGTAGGGTTGCAAATAACATTGATAAGGCAAGTTTCTTTTGTAAAAGCCTACAATCTATAGACCCAAGTCCCAACAGCTGACTAATGCTAACGGTTTTGGTATAGCCTATTGAAGTTACTCGTATACTACCTAACTTGACAAGTCTTGTATTATTTTGCTGTTTGTTAAATCTATGGATGAATTTATATCCCCAGTATTTGACAGCATTATAGAAGCCTATAGTACTTTAATTAGTGATAAAGCATTTTGCATATCCACACTTGCTTTAGCTTGATTTCTTTAAACAAAGTATATTCCAATTATTTAGACTTTTATGATATACAGGGTGTCTAAAAAGTCAGGAACCATAAGCGCTTCAATGAATTTTACAGTATGTGTTTCACATGCTGTTGTCATAATTTGAAACAAGTTTGGAGACTGTATTTCCATTTTCTTTGAATACTGCAGAGGACATTTGTATCATTGTCAATGGTCTGACACTCTTCACAAACTTGTTGTTGCAGATGTTTGGTGTCCCTGATCTTCTCTTTGTACACACCTGCCTTGAGCAGTCTCCAGAAAAAGAAATCCACAGGAGTCAAGTCTGGAGATCTGTGGTACCACATCTGCCAATCCAATGTAGTGTGCAGCTGTGTTACAACCATGCTCTGAAATTAAGGAAAGCTTTAAACCACCTATGTGTCCAGACTTTTTAGACATTATATAGATAGTTACATATATATATATATATATATATATATATATATATATATATATATATATATATATACTATACTACTATATATATATATATAATATATATAAGTAAGTAAAGTAAAAGTAAAGTAAGTAGTATACGTACGTAGTAGTAGTACTAACGTACCTA